AAAAAAAAAAAAAAGAAAAATCTCACTGGAAAAGTACAGATATTAGAAACAAAAAGATCATAATGAACGTTTCGCTCCATGGATATTTAACAATTCGCATGATCGAAGAAATACATACGGATCCGTTGCCAACTCATTTGCAATTCAAGCGATCGTTTTAGTTTTATCTGAACAACGAGCACCGAAATAGAGAACACATGAATAAATCATGGTTTTTCGCATACTTCTAATAATTAGTAGTAACAAGTTACGATACACACGATATACACAATTTTTGTTCACTTACTCATATTATGATTATCCTTTTTTTGTCGGTCTTTGGCAAGCGCATGTATCTCCGCCTCGGTAAGTAACAGAGGTTCAGGCTTGATCTGCAATTCTGGAATATTGCTCAGGCTTCCTGATTGGCTGTCCTTTAAACTATCTCCTAATGAATTGGCTTCAAACGATAAAATATCGTCCAGAAGATCCTCCGCCTGTAATTACACGAATTTGATACCAATAAAACAGTCTGGATTTTTTTAGGAACAGAGAATTAAAATTGTGCGATACATATTTTTAGCTTGCACTTGAACAATTTATTTTTACCTTGACTGTCTGTTTTCAATTTATCTGTTGCATTAATGTATTAAAAACTACGTCAAATTTTGAGGAAAACGTGGAATGAATAAGATTGTCTGCGCTTTCAGAGGAACAAAATTAAATGGTACTTTTCTATGATGTAATTATATGGTATGACATAATGAGAGTTTAATTAAATAAAAAGAAATATATATATAATTTGAATAATTTTGTACATTTCTATGCACCAATACATTTGGAAGTAAAATTAAATACCTACCCAATAATTTTAATAATTTAACATACAATTATTACAAAACATTTATAACCTGAGCTATACTATGTGCTTGAAATGTGGTTAAAATTATGTGACATTCGTTCATTCATTCTCTGTACATCTAGTTCAACCTTCAAACACACATAACGTCATATTTTCAGAATAACAATTTTGTTGTATCATATATACTTTGTTCCGTTAAGTGGATTTGATAATAAAACGAACCTGCCTTTCGCATCTGTATTACACATGCTACATATTACAATTTTATCGAACCAACTCCTTATTTCACGTACAATCGAATCTTGTGGACTTTATCCATCGTTCTTACAAATTATGGTATTTTCGATAATCTTGACTTGAAAGTGTGCAGACTTGTCTAATCTTTTTCGAAGTCTAACAAATCAAATATCGACGACGATTAATCTTATTGTAATCAATTCGAATTTTCATGTCATTTTGAGTTTCAACAATTACAGACTTCAATATAAAATCGTTGCAGTTACACTGATTCATTTGACGAACCAAATAAGTTTTTTTTATTTTTTTCAAGCGTGAAGAAGAAATTTTTGAATGATAAGAAAATATGTTTGGAAACGACTGGAACAACGCAACTGATTGTGAGTTAAGAAAATGATCCAGAGTCTCATAACTAGACTACTAATTTTTATACTTTTATGAGCACACCTGAAACTTTTCATTATTATGTACATTCCGCAAATTTTTCAAATTCTTCCATAATAAAAACAACTCCTGCCAAACTGTTCGATTAAAACCAACGCGTCGATAAAAAATCACCTGTAATTATACACAATTGTCCTATGATGTAATTGCATGTTACAGCAATTGTGTAATACGATGAATTGTTTGTTTAAAAAAAAAAAAAAAGAAACTGCAGTGTATCGAACGGAAATTAAAGATGTCGTAATAGTCTTTTTCCTAGAAAAAAGAGCAAGTATGAACAAATATAGAGGGTTATTTCTGTTACAAACTTTTCAATAATAAATTGATTTATGGAATACTTGCAGATCAGATCTTAACAAATGAGAACGAAATAAGAGAGATAAAAATCTAGAAGAAGAAGAAAAACAAAAGCAAGGAAAGATATATAGAGCCACTAAAATTCATAAAGATAGATAAATTATAACGCTTTACAACAATGAATGGAAAGAGAGACAGAGAGAAAGAAAGAAACGAAATATAATTAATCGGATTGGAGAAATAAGTGGTGAGAAAGGAGATTCGAGTGATGAGAATTCAGAAGAAACGAAAACGGGCTGGGATCGCCGGTATATCAGTGTTCATCGTACGGCGCTTATGGCTATTCAAGTTGCGTACGTGTAAGTTACGTAAATATTACGTAACAACAATAACCAATGTCTGTCTATGGAAGAACATGTCGATAGAACGTGTGTCAGAAAGACAACGGCGGCGAGAGGCGGAGCAAAGAGATAGATTTAAAGCTGTACGAGAG